AGGGGGAGGGAGTTGAGTCCATTATTTGAATGGACATTAACTTGGCGACTGTATTTCTCTATTTCTCTTAAGTATTAATTGTGTGCATGTACCATCATAAAATTAAGATGTTATTTTTACTACAACATAGGTATGTGCCTTCAAAAAGTGGAGTTTGGGGGTCGGGCCGGTTTCTATTGGAATTAATCCCATATGTTCTGTTGTTCACTTAACGCGGATTTCACTTAACGCGGGACCCTCTGGGTTCAATTGACCGCGTTAAGTGGGGTACAACTGTAACATCTAAATTTTATGATGGTATGCTCACACAATTAATATTTAAGAGAAATACAGTCGCCAGGTTAATGTCCATTCAAATAATGGACTCAAATCCCCCCCCCCCTCTTCCCAGCTCACTAGCTCCTACCTCTCTGAGAAATGTTTGGGTGAAAACACTAGATTTTAACGTTTAGTAATAAATAATACCTCAGACTAAAGTTAGGATAATATAATTGACATTTCTGGATTCCTTGCAGGTCAGGGAATATTTTGAATGTAAACTTCATATATTTTGCACAAAAGATAAAATATTTGCTTTGTGTAAACCAAATTATTACATTAGATCTAAAATTTGTATGTCTAATGCAAAATCCATGATGTTTATATTCAAAATGATCATCATATTGTAAGAATTCCAGCAATGTAAATTATATTCTGGCCGAGTAATTTGTATGAATTTTATGAGCTAAAACAAATATCTTCAGGTAATAAAAAAAAAATATTCTTCACGACACTATCTGTCAATCAAAGTACCCCACCTTGCCTCCCCCCCCCCTCCTCACACTCACGCCAGCTGGGTCGGTCGGTCCCAACCCTCCCCCCCACCCCCCACCTTCCCTCCCTACCAGAGAAATGTTTGGGTGAAAAAACTAGATTTTAACTTTTAGTAATAAATAATACCTCGGACTAAGGTTAGAATAATATAATTGACATTTCTGGATTCCTTGCAGGTCAGGGAATATTTTGAATGTAAACTTCATATATTTTGCACAAAAGATAAAATATTTGCTTTGTGTAAACCTGTAGTGGATTTCTCCCCTACAAACGCTGTTTGTCGCTGAGTAGCCGACCCCACGAATTCCCCAGTGTATGCCTCGTGGTCTGGGTCAACCAGCGCCGCCATACATCACGGAGGTCAACTACTAAGCCACGCCTACCCCCGCTATTTAAGACCTGACCTCGTGGTGACCTCTCTCTTTTCTAGCTACAGCCGCAGCAAGCTACATACCTCCTCCGCTGCTGCCTGGCGGCCCTTGCTCCCGCCGGCGAGCATGGCGACCCACAAGCTGGTCCTCCTCTGAGCACCCTCACCAACCAGCTCTCTCTACATCATGCTTGTAACCACGCTGCCACTTCCCAGCACCAAGCTGCATTGTACATCCAATACAATATGTATACAGACAGCACATTGTGAGTTTCCTTTCTCCATCCCATCCTGAGTGTGAACCCAAACAACCATCCCATCCCACAAATGGTGACCCCCGGAGTGACCACTCACACAGGATGGAGGAGAAACAGATCACGCTCCCAGTCTTCAAGGAACATGGAAGACTGGCTTATCCACCCAGAAGCAGGTCTCATCGGGTCTACAGCTACTGTCTGTAAACCGCAGGTTAGACACCCTAGAGCAGCACTGCTTCTCTAAGCAGACACCAGCTCCTCTTCCTGCCCCAAGCACCACGTACTACTGACCCCAGCACACCCGTCCTGCCTCAGACGCCGCCCCCGGCCCAGCAGTACCCCCTGCCGCTTCTCCTGATGCAGCCCCTGCTCCCGACGCGGCCCATGCGCCTGAATGCGGACCCACACACCCCTCTTTTCTCCCTCAGGTACCCCCCTGATACTGTCCTGCACCCTGCTGCTGTAGTGGACCCAGCTGCTGTCACGAGCCCTCATCCACTTCTGCTGACGCAGCCCCTGCTCCTGACCCAGGCCCACACACCCCAGCAAGCGCATCTGACGACTTTGTACCTAACGTGAGGGAAGCACAACATTCATCGCCTCCACACACCCTTTTTCTCCCTCTCTACTCCCACAGATATTGTGTATCTAGACAGTTGTCTCTAGCGGCCGGCTCATCCACGCCATTGCCATCGTCTCACATGAGGCATGCACCGCCCGTTCTGCCTCACATGTGCCATGCAACCCTGCAGACAACAATTCTCCTACACCGCCTGGAGGGAAGGGGAGAGTATTATAGTGGATTTCTCCCCTACAAACGCTGTTTGTCACTGAGTAGCCGACCCCGCGAATTCCCCAGTGTATGCCTCGTGGTCTGGGTCAACCAGCGCCGCCATACAACACGGAGGTCAACTACTAAGCCACGCCTACCCCCGCTATTTAAGACCTGACCTCGTGGTGACCTCTCTCTTTTCTAGCTATAGCCGCAGCAAGCTACATACCTCCTCCGCCGCTGCCTGGCGGCCCTCGCTCCCGCCGGCGAGCATGGCGACCCACAAGCTGGTCCTCCTCTGAGCACTCTCACCAACCAGCTCTCTCTACATCACGCTTGTAACCACGCTGCCACTTCCCAGCACCAAGCTGCATTGTACATCCAATACAACATGTATACAGAGAGCACATTGTGAGTTTCCTTTCTCCATCCCATCCTGAGTGTGAACCAAACAACTCGTACCCTACAAACCAAATTATTACATTAGATCTAAAATTTGTATGTCTAATGCAAAATCCATGATGTTTATATTCAAAATTATCATCATATTGTAAGAATTCCAGCAATGTAAATTATATTCTGGCCGGGTAATTTGTATGAATTTTATGAGCTAAAACAAATATCTTCAATAAATAAACAAAGAAATATTCTTCAAGGACACTATCTGTCAATCAAAATACCCCACCTCCGCCCTCCCTCCCTTCCAACCCCCCACCCCCCACCTTCCCTCCCTACCAGAGAAACGATTGGGAGAAAATAGTATATTTACATTTTTAGTAATAAATAATAACTCAAACTAAAGTTAGGATAATATAATTAACATTTCTAGATTCCTTGCAGGTCAGGGAATATTTTGAATGTAAACTTCACATATTTTGCACAAACGATAAAATATTTGCTTTGTGTAAACCAAATTATTACATTAGATCTAAAATTTGTACAGTATGTCTAATGCAAAATCCATGATGTTTATATTCAAAATGATCATCATATTGTAAGAATTCCAGCAATGTAAATTATATTCTGGCAGGGTAATTTGCATGAATTTTATGAGCTAAATAAAAAAAAAATAAAAAAATTATACTTCACCGCGTATATGAGTAGATGCACCGTGGAAAGTGAAAGTCCGGTTCTGGCAAGGTACCGCGTAAATGAGAAATCGCGGAAAGTGAAACCGTGTAAAGCGGGGTAATACTGTACAGTATAGTCTGGATTTACGCGGATTTTGTTTACGTGTTTGGTCAATTACGCGGTGCCTTGCCAGAATGAAATGTTTTAATTGCGCAGTAAATTTCATCATTTACGCGGGAAGCGACGCGGGAAGCGGCGCAGGCAGGGTGTGCACAAGGTCGCCCAGTCATCAAAACATTACCGAGTTCTTCACCCACCACAGCTGGCCCAAGTCAGTGATAGTGAGGATATGGACTTTGAGGGATTTGACAAAGAGGCCCTGCAAGCCTCTGTGGTGGATAGTGATACAATTGATACAAGTGATACAGGTGAGGGCCAATAATATGCCCTCTGCCTCGGAACCAACCCCCCATCCCAGTGTGCCCAGCCATCTTTTCTACTTACGTAAGTGTTAAAAAACCTAACATTATTGATATTTCTCTTAAATATTAATTGTGTGTGCATACCATCATAAAATTAAGATGTTATTTTTACTACAACGTACGTATTGTGTCGGAAAAAGTGTAGTTTGGGGGTCGGCCCAGTCTCTATTTCAATTAATCCCATATGTTCTGTTATTTCGTTTATGAGTTTCTCTTTTTACTCAGACCTCCATGGGTTCAATTGACCGTGTAAATGCAGACTATACTGTGCATCTTTTTCTGTGTTCATAATAATGGGCAATATCATAAGTAGATATGTCAGATAGTGTAAACTGCAATGATATACAGTTTATCTTCCGTTGAAGTCACATAATTTTATATTACTGACCATTATTCATATATACTGTATATTGAAACCTATATCTTTGGGGCAAATGCAAAAACCACTTGTGCACAGACGAGAATGTTAGTGGGTAAATGAAATAAAAGATCGGAATAGACTAGTTATTTCATTGCACTTGTTATTTATTGGACTAGAATACAATATAAATTCAAATTACAAAGATGAAGTTGATTTTAAGATAAGGAAGTAAACTCCTTTGGGAATACAGCTCCTCCCCGACTTACGACCTACTCGACTTACGACCACCCTCACTTACAACCTGCCTCAGTCGTACCAAAATTTTGTCCAATTACGTATTTTCGAGTCCCAACGTCAGTATACTGACAAAATTTTTGTTTGAAATTCATTTTAAAATGGCTGGCAAGCTTAAAAATGAGAGTTTTGTGGTGCTGAGAAGAAAAAGAAACACCCATTTTAGATTTTCTAGTTATTATTTAAGCATTTTCGACTTACAACCTGGATTTGGCTCCCTAACCCCGTCATAAGTCGGGGATGAGCTGTATATATAAATAAGAATAAATACATATATATCCATAAAAACTTGATTTTCCTTTCACATTTTACATGCCTTACTTACTCATGTATTCCAAACATTTTTGAAAGGCAAAGAAAAGCATGGCTCTCTGGTTATGTGTCGCTCTATTTCCTCTTATATTATGTTTTCTTTCTCCTCTATTCATTTTGCACTACCGCTTTCTAATACATTATTCATATAACACACTCTTAAACTTTTAAAATATCACTATATACCATTATTCTCTAAAAAAAAAAACATGAATAAACAATGTCACAATTTTCCATCATGGCATATCAAGAAATAATTTCACTTCCCAAATTACCTTTTTCATTTCTCTTCTAATTTAATGATTATCACACTCCAAGTGCTAGTATTGAATCTATAGAGTAAATACTAACATTATATATATATAATATACTGTAAACAGTTATTAGTCATAAAAATGGGGAAACTGGGTGAAAAACACGAGCAGCAATGTTGGCTCTTCGTATGTTGATGGCGGGAGCTTCAGCTTGTCCCAGTCGCCGCTAAGTGACAGTATCTACTGGGCTGGCATGTAATTCAAACCCTGAAGGACTGTAGTCGAGTTGCACGTTAACATAATTTTTTTTTCCGAACGTGGACTAAAGTCGATTTACACGGTGAAGGACAAGCATAAAAATGTGAATAAAGTCGAGCCACGCGGTGAAAGGGTTAACTGCTCCAGACACATTGTCGGAGACAGTGGTGTTAGAATTTTTGGATTTTCTGTTCAGAGTTAAAAGCCTTCAATGCTCTACAATTGCATCTTATATATCAACATTGCTTGATCCTCTGGCATGGGATTTTAACATTACTTTGAACCCCAGAATTTATCAAATACTCAGATCGTCCTTTTTCATTCAGAGACCCCCTCGGCCTAAGAGAATCCCACCTTGGTCACTAGATAAAGTTACTAACTTTCGTATGGGGGCCTAACTACAATATAAATCCGACCCGGGACAGATTGCTCCAGAAGGCAGCCTTCCTTCTACCAATAGCAACAGGTATGAGATTCAGTGAGCTGGTTTCAATTTCCAAGAATCCATCATTATTGGTATTTTCTGAGGAAGATGTCACTCTATTTCCTATGGAGATTCTAAGAAAAAAATGAAAGGGAGGATTTTCAAGCTCAACCTATCCGGATAAAATGGCTAATGGATGAGACAAGGGTTCCTCATATGTTGTGCCCAGTTAAGAACCTTCAAGAGTGGTTAACCAGATTCCATAATCGAAACCCCATTGTATTCTCATCACAGGATGTTAAGAAATTGTCTCCTAAGAAATTGTCTCCTATCAAATGACAAAATATTTATCTCAGTTAGTGTGTCAAGCAGACCCTGGCAAGATATTTTTGGCACATGACACCAGGAAATATGAAGGGTCTATGGCCCTCCTGCGTAATATGAGCCTTGGTCAGATCAAAGAAGTGGGCTTTTAGAAATATTCAAAAACCTTTCAAAACAGCTTTCTTCATCTTTCTCTTAAAGATGCTCCACATGTGGTAGTACTGGGGTCCAATCCTCCACCTAGGCCATCTCCACAACCAGGAATTTCTTCTTCCTCACCAGAATAAAGTGAGAATCCTGACATGGGATATGTACCTTAAAATTTTACCTTCCGGTAAATGTTTCCTATTAAGGAAAATATTCCCAACAGGTTTATAATTATTATCTGGACCTAAGCTAATGAAGCCTTATATGCAGTGTCACCTCCCTGCCCGCCTCCTGCCAGGGTAATCAAAGCTAGACGTCGCATTCTGGATTGAACAAAAAGACGTTATTTTTCTAAAAAAAACCAGTTTTTGAGATAAATGCCAGAATGCGACCTCGACATACCACCCATCTCCACCCCTCGAGAGTTGACATTTGTTTACTGTTCGCTCTTGGGCAAAAGATGACGACAGTGATGCGTGTGCTAGCGGGTGCAGGAAGGGGTTTTGAGAATTGCAATTAAATGCCAGGTAGCGACGTGTCCTCCTAATATTATGTACTTTAGTAATTATTAGACGTTTTAATTGCCTGTATGTTGGCTTAGCGAGTTAATGCAAGGCATATACACATGCAGGTACAAAGCTAGATGTCGCATTCTGGCCTTTATCACAAAAATGGTTTTTAGAAAAAAAAAAAAACAGCTTTTTCAATAGCCCCATTAACATCACCAAAGCCAGGAATGAGTACATTTAAAAAATATCCAATGATGTTCCCTGGAGTTGATGTGAGTGGGACAACAGCACCATGCCAGCCAAAAAAAATACATAGAACATGTTAGTCTGGTCTGCTAGGTATTGAACAACGTCGAGAGTAAAGAAAAGCAGGAAAAAACTTACTTCCCTGCTGTCATTATTCACCAAGTCAGTCTGTACTCCTGAAGCAGTGTTTTCAGAGGAATGGAGAGAAGGCACAAAAGTATCACCGCTAATCCACTGCCAGTCTTCATCAGGCACTCTGGCACCAGGGCGGCAACCACGGCCTCATCCTTGTCTGCAGCGAGCAAGGGCGCGTGTTTGTAGATGTCCTGTGGGGTGGCATGGTCAACGTGTGTGGTGAGAGGCAGGCAGCAGTGTGGCAGGGCTGGGAAGAGACACAGGGCTTGCCAAGGAAGAGTTCAGGACAGGTTCAGCATCAGCAGGCTTACCCTGTAGGGAGGAGGGGGGTGGAGGAAAGGGGGAGGTGGACATATGCCTGTCTAGAGTGGTGAATATGTGCGGGTGTGGATGCCAGACATTTCAACATGTTTATTTATTGTTTTAGGGCCCACAGAGAAGAGCAAGAATTTAAAACATTTCAAGGACGTAGATATAAGCCCTAAAACTGAGTGGCCCTTTACCTTAATGGACCTTAACCTAAGTCCTAAATCATGTAGGGTTTCAATTAAACGGATTTTTCTTCACAAGGAATTTTTTTTTTTACATATTTTCCCTCTTGTCATTAAATAAGTGTGCCAACAGTAGTTCCCTTTTAAAAGTGAATGTGTACCATTTTGGGTTTATGAAATTCAGCCAATTGGAATTTTGTTACCTTGATGTTCATACAGTACTGCCATAGAAAAAGAAGATAAAGTTCATCAATGTGAAAAGTATTCAAATTTTCATTTACATATAAGCATTGTAGTATAGGCATTTGTATATATTTACAGGCTAATGCATATACATATCATAGTCAAAGATTTGAGAAAATCTACTGAATGAATATTATTTACAATTCAATACAATCTTCTTTAACTTTATGCCAAACAGTAGTTTGATACAGTATGTGACTATGCATCTGTAATCAATATTTGTATTAAATATAAGTAGTGTATAGTAATATATTAAAAAGGGAGACATTAAGATGAGCTAAACAGTTTACTGTATGCATTCCTATCCTGCATAGTCTTTTCTGATTCCATTTTTGCAAGATGAGTAAGTAACTTGCGACAGCCAGGAGCAACACTGTTGTCCAGGTTGACAGCTTTTTCCAAGTCTTTTCGAGCTTCAACAGGACTGAAGACCTCAACGTATGCTCGCCCACGACGATACAGCGCTTTCACATTATCTGAACAGCAAAGATGTATTACTTACCTTCAATATTTTACTCTATTCTTATTATACTATGTTCATTACACATACAGGTATTCCTCGCTATACAAATGGGTTAGGTTCTTGATAAATGATTCATTAAGTGAATTTTGTATCTTGAATAACATAACATATGGGAAAAATAGGGTTCAGTTCCCCAATGAGAAGAAAACACCAATATCATACCCCACCTCCCAAAGTGAAATCAGTTCATGAAAAAATAAAATAAAACTTACCTAACTAATGATAAATGGTACACAACTGCTGTAATTTACTACCAAACACATTAAAAACATTAATAAAATAGTATCTATAATACAATCTATACTTTTTTTTTTAAGCTGATGGTACAAGCCCAACGCAAGCCTTGCCATAGCAACACAGCCCAGCTGGAACACTGCCTCTGCCAACCCTTAGCAATGGGACTCCCACACTCTGCTGCCCACCTGCAGCTTTCACACACAAAGAAATGTTTAATTCTTTTATGTTTTTGACCTTATGATAGTTATAATTCACATAATCAGGGGAAGATTTTGTAATAAGAAATAGAGGTGGTAATTTAGGAAATTTGTATAAAAAAAATTTTGTATCTCAAACGTTTGTATCGCGAGGGATACTGTACTTACCTAATAGATGAATCTGAATAACTATGAAATTTTTTTGACAGTAGAACGTCGATTTAAAGCGATTCAATTTAAGAATATTGATTTAAAGCAACACCCACAATTAAGGACAATGTTTTAATTTAAAGTGAATCTTTTCTATTTTGCACGACTCAATCTGGTGCATCATATTTAAAATTTTTTGCCTAATGTTTCTCTGGGCACGCTACACTGTCCTAAGGGCAAAGCTATACTGTACAGTACTCAAAATAATGTACTAAATGATTACTAAAATTTATGTCTAGTGCAAACTATAGCATGTTTATACAGTACTGAAATTAATCACTACAGTATCTTATAAGAATTCCAGCAATGTAAATTATATTCTCCCTGGTCACTTCTGTGACATTTTATATGCAAAATACATAAACTCAATCTAAAGGACATAAATAAACAAATAAATACTTCACTAGACCTTCGGCGCCAACTGTCAAACATGTCACTATCACCCCCCCCCCCTCTCTTCCCAGCCAGGGTTTGGTGTTTTAGGCTTAAAGTTTTTATCTTATACTGTATAATGTCACAGACTAAAGTTAGGAGAGCATAATTTGTATTGCTGGAATCCTTGCAAGACAGTGAATAATTTGAATTTAAACGTCATATATTTTGCACAAGAGATAAAAATTTTAGCCCTTTGTAATAAAATTAGTTAGAACTAAAATTTGTATGTCTAATGTGAACTATAGGATGTTTATATTCAAATTAATCATTATCTTATAAGAATTCCAGCAATGTTAATTATAATCTCCCATATCAGTTCAGTGACATTTTATAAGAGAAAAACTTAGTCACTCTTAAGGACAGATAAATAAATAAGCACTAGACCTTGGCATCAACTGTTAAACATATCACCTCACCTCACCTCACTTCACCTCCCTCCCTCCACCCTATCTTCCCAGCCAGTAAACAGACCATTAAGCATCCCTTAATTTTAGCTGTGTTGATTTATGAGTGTTAGTTTTAACATAATACTACAAAAAAAAAAGGATTTGTTTATTCTAGGAGGTGGGCTGAGGTGCATCTGGGTAGACTCAGTCCTTTTTGTATTTTGTATTTCTCTCAAGTACCAAACTAAATTATTCCATTGAAACAACACTTCGATTTAGTGCGAATTCGGTTTAAAGCGACCTTTCTTGGAACTTTGTCTCGTGTTATATCGACGTTCTACTTTATCTGAATCATACATCATAAGAGCCTGATCATTCGAGAATATAATAATGAATCAATAAATAGACCTGGTGAATGCAGTAAAGTTCGGTTCTCCCCCACAGCAAATCTGATTAAACCACTGTCCATTATTCAGGTAACAAGCGTTGTTCTTTTCATAAGAATCTTTTTTTAAGGTTAACCCATTTCTTAAAACCCCCAAGTACCTCCGTTAAAGACAATACATACTCTACATAAAAAGTTCATGTAAATTAGTGTAAGTAGCGAAGTGTGGCACACTGATATGAAGGCAGGACTCAGACTGAGACACATGCCACACAACACCCAACTACAGACATTTAAGTCCACATACAAACACACAAACCTTCCAGAATGATCCTGGACTTTCCAGACTTTTTTACAAATATTTCTGGTGAATTAAGGGGCGGTTCTTAGCAATTCAGATAGTCCAAAAAAAGCAAATTTCAGTATATTCAAGCCCAGTGTGTAGAGGTTTTACTGTACTGTATCTTAATATCTTCTCATAACCCAAACATTATTACAGGTAATGACCATTATAAGCTGGGGTTCGGGTCTTCAAAAAGCCATCGATAAGTTATAGATCATATATCAATATTAATGACTTATGGAGAAAAACAGGTCTGTCAATGAGTCCCTGAAGAGCCCAAACAAGTTTTATACCCTGCTACTGTCAATTAATCAGAGTACTGTCCTCATGTCTGAGGGATGGCAACCACAGTCCTCCATTCTAAACATCCTCTCCCTGTTTTTACCAATCATCAAAGATTCTGTATCTCTCTGGGGACCCCGTTTTTAATTTCATTCATCCATCCCATCTCTCCCTTCCCCTGGCTCTCCCACCCTCAACTTTGTCCATTAATATTTCTGTTATTATTTTCTCATCCCTAATAATATGACCAAAGTACTGTATCTCTTTTTTTCCCTGCAATAATGACTAAAAGATGTATAAATAAATTACATAATTTATAAATAGACACAAAATCAATAAATTTATACAAAATAAAGAAATAAAAACAATGATATGTATGTGTGCATGTAACTTTGCTACATGCACACACGATCTTTCATACAGAAAGTGCAAAAAAAATAATAATAATAATTATCATAAGGTAAAAACATAAAAGGAATAAACATTTCTTATGTGTGTGGGACTCATCACAGAGCAGGGTAAACATAAGCAATTTTGTTCATTTTTTTTACTGTTACATGCATATGCAATCATTCACACAAAATGTGCAAAAATAATAAAAGAAATAATTTTAATAAGGTCAATAACATAAAGGGTTGGGATAGCATTGCAGGAGGAGTGTGCACTGTCAGTACAGTATCTCAGCCTCCAGACAAGCAGTGAGCTGCGTTATTGCTATTTTTCAACTCCTATTGTCAAGTATATATATGCAATTATTTTTTTTTCTCTGTTACATGCACACACAACTGTTCGTACAGAATGTAATTTTTTTTTTATAATTATCATAACGTCAAAAACATAAAGGGAATAAACATTTATTATGAATGTGGGAGCTAGCACAGAGAGTGAAAAGATTGCCAAATGGAAACAATATTTTTTCTTTTACTGTTTTAATCACTACTTCCCCTGTATTACTATTATTTATTCCTCGCATTTACTGGTAGAGTACATATTATTTTATGTACAGAGAATAGCGTCTTCCACACACAAAATATCCTCTGGGCGATGTGACACTGTTCAACTGCTTAGCCTAAGAGTCACCAGGGATAGGCAGAAGAACCCACACATCATGCGAGGGTTGCACGTGTTATACCATTCCAAGATTGCATCATCATACCTCGGAATATTGCAAGTTATTGCACATCACTTTTTCATATCAGTGACAATGCAGGGAAAGCAGTTGGATAGCAACCATTGTAAAACTGATCTTTAGCCATTGCATAGCAGTGAATGGTGTTAATTTTTTAACATCGTAAAATTGATCGAGTATGTATTATGAACAGTACCTACTATAGAGGAGCCTACTGTATTGCTTATTAATATAACACAGCACTCAAACAACATACAGCAGTAGTCTGCCAGGTGTAAACAACCTTTGTGTTAAATCCAAGCTCTTAAGTAGATAGCATTCAAAAATTAAACATTAGATATACAGAACAGTATTAGGCAAAATTTCCATAAATTAGTTTAAAAAAAATATATATATATTCTACATCAACAAATATGTTTTATGGTTGTTAGGGCACTGCTACAACTATCTTTGCTTACTACAGTACCAAAAACAATTATTTTGACTAAATACACTCAACAATTTTAAATATCACCTCATTAAGAGAGCAAGCAAAGTTTTACAAGATACAGTACCTGTACACAGATACATATACGTACCTGGATCTTTCTCCAACACTGTGGTACAGTGCTCTATGACAGAATAATATTCCCCTTGTAAAAGTTGACACTGAGAAAAGTTCAGGAGAAGAGGCATTTTCATCTCATTAAGTTTCACCCATTCTTCATCACCAGGTTTTTCTCTGTGGATGTTTTAACATTATCAGTATAAATGACAAACAATTTAGTTTCATACTAACAAAAATAGCTAAAACAAAGTCTGTCAAAATTAAAAAAAATAAAAGGATTGATCCTGAATTCACTTTTTTCGGTATAGCAAACACTTCAGCCAAGCAACCCTCAACCTACACTACAGCCAAGCAACCCTCAACCTACACTACAGCCAAGCAACCCTCAACCTACTCTTCAGCCAAGCAACCCTCAACCTACACTTCAGCCAAGCAGCCTCAACCTACACTACAGCCAAGCAACCCTCAACCTACACTTCAGCCAAGCAGCCTCAACCTACACTACAGCCAAGCAACCCTCAACCTCACACTACAGCCACAACCTCAACCTACACTTCAGCCAAGCAGCCTCAACCCACACTACAGCCAAGCAGCCTCAACCACACTACAGCCCAGCAGCCTCAACCTACACTACAGCCAAGCAGCCTCAACCTACACTACAGCCAAGCAACCTCCCCACACTACAGCCACAACCCTACAGCCAACAACCTCAAACACTACAGCCAGCAGCCTCAACCTACACTACAGCCCAGCAGCCTCAACCCACACTACAGCCAAGCAGCCTCAACCTAAACTACAACCAAGCAACCTCAACCTACACTACAGCCACAGCACAGCCCAGCAGCCTCAACCTACACTACAGCCAAGCAGCCTCAACCCACACACACAGCCAAGCAGCCTCAACCCACACACAGCCAAGCAGCCTCAACTACAGCCACACACCTCACAGCCAAGCCCACAGCGAGCCAGCCACAGCCAGCCTCAACCTCACAGCCAAGCAGCCTCTACAGCCACAGCAACAGCCACAGCAGCCTCAACCTACACTCACAGCCAAGCAGCCTCAAACACTACACTACAGCCACAGCCTACACTCTGCCTTCAGCCTCACACTCACAGCCAAGTAGCCTCACCCTAGCCAAGTAGCTCTCTACACTCACAGCCCAGCAGCTCTCACACTCACAGCCAAGCAGCCTCTCTCCCTACACTCACACAGCCCAAGCAGCCTCCTCCCTACACTACAGCCAAGCAGCCTCACCCTACACTACAGCCAAGTAGCCTCTCACACCACAGCCAACAACCCCACACTACAGCCAAGTAGCCTACAGCCAAGCAGCCTACACCCGCAGCCTCAACCCTACACACACAGCCACAGCCAGCCTCCACCTACAGCCAGCAGCCAAGCCAGCCTCACCCCACACTCACAGCCAAGTAGCCTCCTCCCTACACTACAGCCCAACAGCCTACACTACAGCCAAGCAACCACAGCCCAACACAAAATACACAGCCAAGCAGCCTCCCTACACTACAGCTACAGCCCTCAACCCACACTACAGCCAAGCAGCCTCAGCCTCCACACCACAGCCCAGCAGCCCCACCCTCACACTCACAGCCAAGCAGTACAGCCAAGCAGCCACTACAGCCAGCAGCACTACAGCCCAGCAGCCCTACACTACAGCCCAGCAGCCCCACCCACACCAGCCACAGCCTCACCCCACACCACAGCCAAGCAGCCTCAACCCACAGCTACACTACAGCCAAGCAGCCTCAACCTACACACAGCAGCCCTCAACCTCACAGCCAAGCAGCTACAGCCCAGCCAAGCAGCCTCAAGCACCTCAACCTACACTACAGCCAAGCACCTCAACCTTCAACAACTACACTACAGCCAAGCAGCCTCAACCTACACTACACAGCCAAGCAGCCTCAACTCTACACTACAACCAAGCAACCCACCCACACTACAGCCAAGCAGCCTCAACCTACACTACAGCCAAGCAGCCTCAACCCACACTACACACAGCCAAGCAGCCTCAACCTACACTCACAACAACCTACCTACACTACAGCCAAGCAGCTTCAACCCACACTCCAGCCAAGCAGCCTCAACCCACACTACAGCCAAGCAGCTTCAACCACACTCACAGCCAAGCAGCCCAACATACACTACAGCCAAGCAGCCTCAACCTACACTACAGCCAAGCAACCTCAATCTACACTACAGCCAAGCAACCTCAACCTACACTACAGCCAACAGCCTCAACCACACTGCAGCCAAGCAACCTCAACCTACACTACAGCCATGCAGCATCAACCCACACTACAGCCAAGTAGCCCTCAACTACACTACAGCCCAGCAGCCTCAACCTACACACAGCCAAGCAGCCTCGCCCCACACCTCACACAGCCAAGCAACCCCAACCTACACCACAGCCAAGCAACCTCAATCTACACTACAACCAGCAGCCTCAACCCACACTACAGCCAAGCAGCCTCAACCTACACTACAGCCAAGCAGCCTCAACCCACACTACAGCCAAGCAACCCAAACCCACACTACAGCCAACAGCCTCAACCTACACTACAGCCAAGCAGCCTCAACTACACTCACAGCCCAACTACACTACAGCCAAGCAGCCTCAACCTACACTCAGCCTGCTCAACCTACACTACAGCCAAGCAGCCCTCAACCTACACTACAGCCACAGCCTCAACCACACTACAGCCAAACCCAAACCCACACTACAGCCATGCAACCTCAACTCTACACCACAGCAACCCCCAACCCACACACAGCCAAGCAGCCTCAACCTACACTACAGCCAAGCAACCCAACCTACACTACAGCCAAGCAGCCTCAACCTACACTACAGCCAAGCAACCACAACCTACACTACAGCCAAGCAGCCTCAACCTACACCTTACAGCCATGTAACCCCTCAACCTACACTCCAGCCAAGCAGCCTCAACCTACACCACAGCCAAGCAGCCTCAACCCACACTACAGCCAAGCAACCCCAATCTACACACAGCCCAGTAGCCTCAACCCACACTACAGCCATGCAGCCTCAACCTACACTCACAGCCAAGCAACCCAACTCCACACTACACAGTACAGCCAAGCAACCCTCAACCTACACACAGCCATGTAACCTCAACTTACACTCACAAGCAACCCTCAACCACACAGCCAAGCAACCCCAATCTACACACAGCCCAGTAGCCTCAACCCACACTACAGCCACAGCCTCAACCCACACCACAGCCAAGCAACCCTCAACCCACACCTCACAGCCCAGTAGCTCCCCATCCCACACTAGCAGCCTCAACCCACACACAGCCAAGGCCCTAGCCTCAACACTACAGCCAAGCAGCCTCAACCTACACTACAGCCAAGCAGCCTCAACCTACACTACAGCCAAGCAGCCTCAACCTACACTACAGCCAAGCAACCTCAACCTACACTACAGCCAAGCAACCTCAACCTACACTACAGCCAAGCAACCTCAACCTACACTACAGCCAAGCAACCTCAACCTACACTACAGCCAAGCAGCCCCAACCTACACTACAGCCAAGCAACCATCACAATAAATTGATGCTTTCTGTAGGTTATGTGTTCCCAGAAAAATACTCTTTCCTCCAGAAAGTCAGTCATGATGGAGTTGTTAATCCACCTGGATATACTATTCACTCTTCCCTCCCCATCATACCAGTCAACTCTGCCCAATCAGCAGCACACATACACACACCAAGGCATACTGTACTGTCCACCCTCTTGATTTCATGCCAATCTGTCATTCTGAATTCAGTTCCAGATGACTAAGCCCCTAACTTTAGGGAAGAGGGAGGTTATCTAAGTCATTGGTGCAATGTTTTCCACTACCTTCCAATTGCCCAGCTGTAAAGTTAGGTACAGGTATACCCAGACATGAGGGAGTGTCCTGCAGTAAACAGTGTTATCTTTACCCCTGATTATATATATATATATATATATATATATATATATATATATATATATATATATATATATATATATATATATATATATATATATATATATATATATATATATATATATATATATATATATATATATATATATATATATATATATATATATATATATATATATATATATATATATATATATATATATATATATATATATATATATATATATATACATATATATATACATATATATATAAATATATATATATATATATATATATATATATATATATATATATATATATATATATATATATATATATATATATATATATATATTTGAATAAGCCCACCCGGGCACAGGTCAAACGCTCCACAACGGGGCCTGGGGGCGAAAAAATAAGAACAGAAAAAAATTGAAAATAGAGAAGAAAAAGGTTATACAGTGGTCCCTCAGTTAATGAACACAATTCGTTCCACAGAGTCGTTCGTTAACCGAATCTATTATTTCAATGGGATATTGGGTAATTGGTTCCAACTCACAGAAAAGTACATACAAAGTATAAACAAAATGCAGTACAGTACACTTACTTTGAGGTGTGTATGTAGAATGTTGGACCCATGCTTGTTGCAGTAATTTCACCAATAAAATTTTAAGTTCACTAGCTGTAATTAAAGATTATTTTATTTAAATCAACACTGCACTGTGCTATATATATTATCAATATGTTAACTAAATTTCAGAATGACCAATAATTTTAATGTAAAAACGTAAAAATACTCTGTATTCAAGAGAGCGACAAACACGATGTTTCCTCCACTGCAAACAAAGTTAAACAGAGACGCTTTGGCGGGTGAGTCAAGCAGATGATGGGCGCACAAAAAACTAGTTCCCTGTACTGCATATATTATCAACATGTTAACTAAATTTTAAAATTACTAATAATTTTAATATAAAAATTGCAAAAATATTAAAGGGCACAACCTTCTTGATATTTGGAAACGAATGTAAACATAAAACCGATTACTGTACAGTGATCCCTCGGTTAACGAGCGCCTCGGTTAACGAGATTTCGGTTAACGAGTTATCTTCCATAAGATTCTTAACTTCGGTTAACAAGCAATCCCTCGATTAATGAGTTATTTACAAGCCGACCTCAACATGTTTTCGCTTACATTTGGCGGTCCACCAGCTGTAGTATTAGTCCGCCAATACAGTAATC